TTAATAATAATCTAAACATTCGAAGCGGTAGATTTTTTTTGACAGATCGGAGATATTCTTCAGTTGATTTTTTAATTAGTGTTGCTATTATACCAAAATGGTAGCAACCAGCAAACAGGGAAATAAAGGGCGTATTTATTATTTAGTTTTAAATATTGATTTCAAAGTAGTTGGTTAGAATTTGTCACACTCATCTTATAATAGTAATACAAGAGTAGGACTTCTGGAGATTGTAAAACTGATTGATATCTTGCATAGTTCTGTTTATTTTCACTTTCTGATTGGAATTTCTTGTATTTAACATGGTAATTTCAGATAGTGTGTGAGAGAGATAAAAAACATATCATGGGGTTAATGAACTCATCTTCATACAGAAGTTCTACATGCAATCTCCAGTGTTGTATATAAGCTTCTTGCCTGTATCGTAATTAAACTTTTTTATTATTATTTTTGGCCTGTACGTAATGTTTGTCATAAGCATTTTGTTTTCTGTTTTAGAATCTTTGTATTATAGTATCAGAGTAGATAAAATAAATAATGATATAGTTACCATGCCAAAAGTGTTTATGTCCGCGAATGTACTTCAAGTTTGATTTGATACCATGAACAAAACTTTTTTTTAGATGGAATAATTAATATACGAGCGATTGCATGTAACAAAACCACAAACGTTGCTTATCAAATGGATTATTGTTACTGATGAATTAAAACCAAAGCTCGAATACCTTCAGGCTGTTGTTAAGAAAAGCCACATAGGTTTTTACAATCTACGATCAACTGAAAACATGAGTTGAGCTTCCTGAATAATGTAGTAATGTATGTGTCTTTTTCCAATATGTGAATTAATAAAACTGCTAAAGATCTTATAGTCGCATCTGGTTTATCGTGCAATACTACAAGTTTAATCTTTTATACTGAATCAAAAAAGCTAAACATATTTCTAGTCTTAAACGCAACAATAATCGTTAAGGGTTATGAAATGTCTTTATCGCAACGAATTTTTGTTTTAACATACATAAGTCACTGAAGATTATCCGGATTCGGCGACTGTTATCACAAGATTTATGACACTCCGGACCGAAACAGGTTCAAGAAAACTTTAATCAGCAACACGACTCTTGTTTACGTCAAATATCGGAATGCCAAGAATCTAACACACCTTAAATAGAATAATCACAATATGTATCAAAAATTAAATCCGTATTTCAAGTTAATAGAGCAGTATTACAGACGTCAAAGAATATATTATAGATTAGGTGTGCTCTGGTAATGAAAAATATCACAATCGTATTGTAAACAATAACAAGATTGAATAGTCATGAGGAACCGACAAGAATAAAAACTATTCATCGTGAGATCATAAACTAAAACAATTAAGAAAATGATCATAAATCGAAATTATAGCTTATTAACATGCATACCCAGGATATTATAATTGCGGAAATTGCTTAAAAGATGATGTCACTGAAAGTTAACACAATGCCGCTATTAATTTAAGAATAGCGGTCATAAATAAGTTCTTGTTCCCAATTGAAGCACTTATAATATTGAAAACTAATTTATCTATCGCGAGCACTGCAAACCTACTTCTTTTGGTAAAGAATGTGAACTATTATCTATCATATTGTATCTTGATTCGTGGGTAACAATAATTCAAAGTTAATATTACTCAATACTAAACTACACCTTAATATGGAATGCCGGAATCGATTTCGTACTTTGAAAAAAAGTTGGTCGAAAATAATGAGAGGTGGCACGGATATAAACGCAAAATCGATTCTAAATATCGATAAAACCGCCACGACTCTGCACGGAGGTGATAAAATTGCTCGATAAAAAAGCAATGCACCCAAAAGGCGTCATGAATATTCGATTACATAATTTAAGTGGACAGACGTCGCCGATTTTTAGCGGGCACCGGCGGCGCCTCGTTGGATATTATGCGGTATTACCACGAATTCTGTTTATATATTCAATAATAGTGAATTTTCAATGTTAAAAATAGCGTGGGTGTTTGTATAATAATAACGTCCTTACTTTTCCTAAATACTACTAAATTTGATTTAAAGAAGTTTGGTTGCAATTTTCAGTTAAAACTTATATTATCCAGATAACAACTTGCATATCTTAATCAGACACATATTACGGTTTAAAACTTATTTCCAGGTTTGAAAGAAGTTGATTCTTATTCTTATTTCTTCTAAGATTTTAAATTCACTATATAAAACTTTTTTCAAGTGTCTTAGTTTTGATTTAGTTTCGAAGATTCGAATCATTCTTAAGAAATCGTCTACTAGAAAAATACCTACTTTGCGGCTAGGCTAATTGGTGTGTGTTAAAAAATGTGTTTTCACTATCTTTAATAGCTTAGAAAGGAGTCTAAACATTTTCTGTGATGAATCTATAAATTTTTCTAAAATCTAAAATAAACACATTTTAGCGGTATCACCCATGATTTGTTTATCTCAAAAAAATACATGTCACATCTTAAAGACTTTAAATAACTCGATGATGACCAATGGTAAGGTCGAGGAAGCTGCGCACGCGGTCGAACGGTCAATGCCGAAGCACAGCGCCTCGGTGTCGCGGAATGTGGCTGCCCCGACGCCCAAACATGGTTCGGGGAACGAAATAAAACCGTGGACGATTGCCCCCTCTGCATGGCGGCGAGACGAATTTACGACGGAAAGAATAGAATGGACCTCCCGTAGATTAAGAATAAAAACTGGACTACAATGATGCCGAAAATACTAAACAACAAGTAATCGAAAATATACAAAAAGACTAAAATTGAAATGGGGCTGACTAGATCTTATCGAGACAATGCACGAGTGCTTACTAAATGGGATCTTTCAAACCAACTAAAAAAGAAGGACTTCATTTACCCTAGAATTTGTTCGAGCGCATTTGTCAACTTTTTTCGCATAAATACATCTAATCAGTTTCAACTCTATCAAAGTCTAGGAAAGAGGAAAGAGAAGAGTTAAATATTGCATTGGATAAATAAGTAACAATAGCTTATTAAGGTAGGTAGCCAACATGTAATAGTCGAAAATGGTGCGACATGAGTGGGCAGACCACTTGACCATGACCCGACGGTATTGTGTCGGTGGCAGGAAGGACAGCCAAATCGGTAAAGGAAAGATGTTTTAAAAAAACAATGAATAAACAAATCGATAAATGCACACGTTTTATTAATTGCCACATGTCATCAGTAATTTACCATTTTGTCGGTTTATAATGGTAATTTCTTTTCTATTTTATTGAAGTGAGTTCATAAAGTTTTATCCCGAAATGTACGGGAATTTTTCAAATACTTCAGTAAAAGAAAATAAAAATAATAAATATGACGAATAGCGCTACTGTAATTTGGTCAAAAAAAATAGGAATAGAACAACTAATCGCAAAGGAATGTAGTATAAATACACATTACGTGGTTAAGTTTAATCATTAGTGACGTCCTTAAGACTGTCACAACGGCCTTAAGACTCATGTGAACAAATAAAAATTCTCAAATTACGTCAATAAATATACATAAGATATACACTAAAGCCGGTAGCTTCGAATATTTTTGAACAAAGCTGAGTATATTTAACCGTTATAAAAAATATGAAGCTTAAGATGTATGAAGAATTTAACGGAAAACATTTCTGAAGTTTAATAAAGACAAGACGTTGCCATATCTCTATAGGTTTTTATCAGAAAAACACGTTTGGTGATAAGGAAAAAAATGCATGGCAATAAAGATCAGGATCGGTTCTCTGTCGACCTTCCGAGGACGCGGCGTGTCGATGACTCGTTCCGAGCGTGCTCTTGCGCAACTCATAAACAACGTGCTTCTCGAGATGAGAAGACGTTGCTAACAAAACTGATATAGTTGAGTAACAAATAATGCAACTCAGTTATGTACTAGGTGTTTAGCGCTGCAAAACTGGACTGTCGCATTGTCCGAATAGTGAGGACGTGGACGTATCGACGAGGCTTCCATATGGTGGAAATCGCCACCATAAATCGAAATGCTGCAGCTAAAAAATAAGTCGGTTACAGTAATTGAATAAATATACATTTTACGGTTATGGTCGTCTTGAAAACTTTTGTGGTATGTGGGAGATGACCTGAATCCTATCATAGTTATTTATTTATTTTTGACAACGACCAACGACATATACAAGAAAACAAGATACAAGCATCAATATTATATAAAAAAACAGACCTAACCTGCACCAAATGTGACTTTGTTGAGGGAATGGGGAAGCGTGATAAGTAAAAGAATTAAGAAGGTCAGATGGCGCAGTGGGAAATTCTTTCTACAATTGATGAAATTAAGCTACTTTCGCAAAGACCAGGCTTGGATGGGTAACCAAATATTTATAATCTGGAGCACCTTCTTATATCGGAAGGCATGTTTAGACGTTGGTTGTGGGTGCATGTGAAGTCGTTATCATATACCAAGCCTAACTAGTTCATATTCATGATCATTCCCTTACTCTGTCCAAGGCAAGGCTGAAATTATGATGGTGATAGGAATGTGAGAAAAGTCCCATCTTATCGCGCCTGTGATACTCTGCCAGCATTAGTCAAAACTGCATTGCAATGTTATTATTATTCATTATATTTCATATCTTGGCAGTTTTATGTTGCTAAATTAACATAAACCCTAAAAATGGTAAATTGTTATAGGTCCATAAAAAGAAGTTTTTATAACGGGTCAATAATATCCACATAACTTACATCACAGTTCTAATTTTAATGCGACTTTAGCTAATCTTTTAAATATATCATGCATAATTCCACCGGGTATTATTATACGGACCGTTACCCGACATCCGTGAGGGCACCAGGGATCTCCCATCATTCCATCTGAGTTATCGTCGAAGGTTTTAATCAGGCGCATCGTGCGTCACGTGTGTACACTGCGACCGGTGTGGTTGTGTGCGTGAGCGCGAAGTTAGTGTGCGTGGGCTCGCGCACGCGCCACGACTCGGTATTTACACGCTCGCCCCCTACCACCGGCGCCACTCATGCGCCGCGCGACCTGCCGACCACACGTGCAAACCCCACCACCGAGGACAAACACCCTCGGGGAACCAACATTGCACCGACAATCGCCCTAGCAGACAGTACCCAAATATGTGCCAGTGATCGGACACCAGTGATTTAAAAAAAACTAAGAGTGAAGTGACTTTCTTATCAGCGACGTGTGATGTGCTACTACTGAAGGTGGCGACGGGATTATTGAAAGCCGCAGCCTCAACCGTTTAATTGAAAATGTAAGATTGTATTTTCTTTTTCACTAGTGTTTTGGTTTAAGTGAAAAACGTGCGTCTTAGGTTAGGACAATCGCTTATACCCTCCAGCCTGGTCCACGACCCAGATCCCACGGGTCGCCGCGCCGGCGCACCAACAATACGCTCGACTCCAGAAACAATACAACTATCGCGACACAATATTAAAGTTAGTTTCACAGCACCTTTGGCGCGAAATTCAATGACACGCGCGCTGCCACAGAAACACCTGTGAGAACATAATGCCTTTCAGCACTTTGCCTTGAATTACAGAAATTCAATTTAGTGTAAACATCTTATAAGTCGCTCTTATATTGACAAATCGTTAAACTGGCAGTTACAGTCACATTTAAGAAACATGCAAACATAGTGTCAGAATGTCTGTTGAGCGTTGGCAATAATATTAATACCTAATATATTATACATATATTATTATAGATAACCTAATAATAGTTTATAACAACAACAATTTTATGGTGCATGGTAATAGGAAAAAGTTTACCGCTTTTACCTCTTTTGTAATGACCAGTCATCAAGTAAGCAAACGATCGTTCGACTTTCTACTCATAAAACAGAACAATAGCAGTAATATAGAAAGACATTAAACTATGACTTAAACAAACCTCCGAAGGAAACACCGTAAAGTAGCTATGAAACTTAGTCGTAAATACAACTGAGTAAGCTCTCATGTCTAATGGAGCCCATGTGAACATGTAATCATAACAGCACACGTAATTAGATTTCATTACAAATAGGTTTCATATCCCTTAGTACCTAAAGCAGCAGAAAAATATCTACAAGTTTTGGTCTTAAAGAGTTGCTTTATAATGATAATAAAAAATCTGGGAAAATCCCATTTACGTCTAACTTTAGTCACATAAACATATTAGAATAACGGAACACTAAACCTTTTGAACTGTGACAAATATTCAAATAAATGCTCATCACGTGACTATTGTAAATTCCATTGATAAAAACCGGTCGACAATTTATAGTGTTGACGTTATATTATTATCATTACGTGCTGAATATATTTTTTTTAAATGTGTTAGATACACATTAACAATATAATCTCCCGCGTGGACCCTGTGAATCAATGTAGAAATAGTTACATTTGCATTCGACTATGTTGATTGTTAATCGTACAAAAAACAATTCTTCTCATGTAGTCAATCCACGAACTATTGTTTCCGTTTATAATACCGCAGCTTTCGCTGTAATGATAGCTTTTATAATCGTAACTACAGATGGGTCTTAATTAACTACAGACTACAGGAGAGAGGTGAATAAACCGCTACAGGTACAAGGAATAGGAAATGAAATATCCTCTGTTATTGGTAATGGCACGGTAGTTACATCACGTGAGATTGTAAATTGGCCTCTTCCGATCGCGCTATTACTAATTTACTATAAAATAAAAGCCGAAGGGGACGACAGCCATCGTAAGATCGACATGCACAATGACATAACCGGCACCAGATGCGCGTGGTCAGTATAACGTAACAGTTCCTCATGTGCATAGAAAATTGCGGGAGAATAGATTTGGACACGTCTATCAAATCTACGTGGAACATGATTTTTTAAAACACCTACGGTATAAAAACCAACGCTAGCCGTGAGAATATAAAGATATAATTAAGAAAAACACGGATGTTGGAATTCGCCTTCTGTACAACAACAAGCGATCATAATCGTTTTTTAAATCGCAACCGACACTATATTTCGAGTCAAAAAGATAATGGATACAATTAATTATTCAATTCATTAGTAGTTACAGCTTTTTTTCACTAAAGTGATATCATTAATATCACTACCATATTAAAATTAATGTATGTGTAACATCTATCTATTAAGACTAAAGAGTAAAGAGAAAATTACTAGTTATTATTAACGTTTTTAGCAAGCCAGTTTTTAATTATTGAAAATTAAAAAAGCCGGTTAGAAAATAACACTGTTAGCATCTTACGAAATGTTAGTGGCTTCAATATAATGAACGCATGTAAACATAGCACAAGACCCTGACGGTTATTGTATTGACAGCTATCCAAAGATCAAGGCTTAAACAACAATGAACAAGAGATCAAAAAGAAATCAATGTAACCACAATCGAATGCCTTTTAAGTGTATTACTGATGACACACCACCTGAGTTCAATCGAGAGCGGTTCACCTTTTGCGACCCCGTCATTTTAAATGTCCACTCAATGTTAGCATTGCCGTGAATCACAGATGTGTTTACACAAATTAAATATAAGCCCTCTGCACACAAATTTCAAGAAATCTGTCGTTCTCACATAATTTAGAGATATCACAATGACCTCGCATTGACGACAAACAAGAGCTACTTTACATATAAAACAGGTCGTGTCTACAATATCTGTTGTTAGTTCCAGTGTGAATTGTTCAAAAACATTCGCTCCACATTTATCTTAGAAATCAAGATAATTTGCATACGATGATATATAAACACGGCATTGCGTCACCGCGCGTGCGTCCATCAACAAAAAAGGCATCCGGCTACGAGACGACAAGTTTTCGTTATCAAACAGGAGCAATAACACTTGAACTACCGTCTCGCTACTCTAATAAGCATTATATAGAGAACAATGTGGAATGACAGTCTTGTTTTAAGCGTGTGGTAACTACCAGCGCGTTAGTCAGCTCTAACAATGGATGATGTCTCGGCAATTAGTCCCACTGGCACTTTGTCACACTTCGACTTAAAACTCTAATCAGCGTGACCGACGACAGTGCTGTTATAACCATCATTGTCACAAAACAACGAATTATTATTTTCACCTTGAATAATAATTGCTACCAGCAATAATCGGATATCTAAAAGGCTAAATCATTGCTCAAAAAAAAGTTACTAAACTCTAGCAACAAAAATGTGCAGCTTTTCCTCGCACGACGTCGAGCGAAGGACTCGGGCGCGGGCGCAATCTAAGGTTGCCTATTATCCGCCACGCTCCAAAAAATACTAAAAGGTAACACCAGAACAGCGGAAAAATTTTGAAACTCGTTGCACAAGACACTCATATTAAACAATACAGAACTAACTAATAGCGACGATTATCTATCTAAAATCAGTTAATTGATGTTTACTTCATCGCGGCGTAGAAGGAGCCGCCCACCGCATGCGCCGATCGATATCTTAATAATAAACTCAAGCATTACTTACTATTTGTGGCAACAAAAAATCGTTTACCTGAAATAAAAAGAGTAAAGTATAATCATACAGCATCACAGGAAACATCTCATTAAGCTTAAATATAAACAGTGCACAGTTCAAAATGTTAACAAGCGGCACGCGCCTGCTTTCCAAGAATGTCACGTGAAAAGAAAAAAATGTGATGCGGTAATAGTAATTACAGACATTTGACATGAGAAACAGTGGACATTACACGGAACATTATGCAGTCATAATAACACTGGGTAGGACCACTCTGTGAAATGACGAAACAAAGAAACAAGAAAGTTGTGAACTAACAAAGAAACGAAAGCGCGGTCATAACATTAAAGTGTATCATCATGTAGTTTAACTCGAACTGCATCTTATTATAATGCAATCAAAAAAACAATCTAGTGGATGCCAAAATAAAGAATGACCCTTTATGGTAACTTAGATATCACTTCCTAGATCTCTGTAGTGTCATTAAATTCCATATTGAGATATTTGTAATAGACAAAAGCAATATGCCATAATTTTGGTGTTCGGTCTACAGATAAATTTGAACTAGGCGGAGATCAGCACGCGGAAATCTTTAATATTTAATTGGCATGAAGGTTGTCAGTTTCAAGGGTGAGATTTGTTGTACACATAAAAGCCGACGACGTCTTTATAACCAAATCGTGGATTAATAGCATTTAATAAGTAGGTATATATCGGTTACGCTTCGACAAGAAATGCTTACTCAATGAGATCACCTTGGAGGTTTAAAAATATGTACCCAGTTATAAATCATAGGCCCGCCAACAATGGACCACATGACAGAACACGCAGTGGAAATGGTTTGAAATATTTCACGACGATATGGCCCCGAGACGGCGCGTGCGCACACCACAACCGCAGAGCCAGTCACGACTAGGAATCCGATCGATTTTTTATACGGCGACCTTACAACTGTCGAATAACATAAACGAAATTCGCTTCTATACAAGTTTCTTTAACGAAAACACAATAAAACATAAAATTGTGTTCCGATAAACATGTGTCTAAAACATTCAATTAAAATTAATTCAAAAATATATTGGACAATATTTCATCATCTGTCAATTTTAGTACAAAGTTTTTTTCCATTTCAACAATCATACGTTTCAAATCAGATAATTCAAATAAGAGGTAACGAGATGCAGACGTTGTAAAAGAATTCCCACATTAAAATGCAAGGTCAAAGGAGCTACTCTGTCTTGTATAAGCAATACAGAGTTAGCATAGAACGCAGATACATACTAGATATCAGTGACATAATGATCGGATAGCCCTCTAGACCTTTAAACAGGTTGCAAGATGGGCTCGCCTTGGCCGCGAATGGCTGCAGTGTAGTGCACCAAACCATGACACTATTAGCATTTCTGAGATTCTATAGCAGAATTCCGACTTTAAGGTTAGTCACCGTTTATAGTGATTGTAAGTAACATCCAAGAGGTCTCTCCATTTATCTCGATACATTTGCAAACTTGAATATTATTTTCCTCGATTCAATTAAACTCTAAAGTGACTACCCATTTCATTATTCTGAACTAGCAAAGAAGAATATCATTTATAACGCGTTGCGAAATGTTGTTAATAATAAAAAAACAAAAATAATAATATTGAAATCGAAACTAGACTAAGGATCATTAATTATATCAAAAACAAAACCACAGCAGATGCTATACAGACGGATAATAAAACGACAGCAAGCTAATGAGATCGTAGATCACTTGGAACGGCACGCGCCAGAGATGAGCCTGCGCATCGTTAGGGCTGCCTCACAGATATCGCAGAAACATCTGCCAATTATGCTGTATCAGAATCTATACCCGAATCTTGTACTCAACAAATTTCATTAAAATAATAACGTAGCTACGTGTTTCTATACGAACAATAGTTGCAAATTTTTATCACCAAATGTTGATGCTAATAAACCGTAAAAAATAAGTCACGATTCAACCCTAATGGCGATAACGATGCGTGCGCGCCTACACTATTACCGTTTAGATTTGGTTAATCGTTGCGGTTTAAATTGTATTAATCTTTTGAATGTTGCATGTTCGTGGCACGCGCCCGTTATGCGATCATAGTTCCCATTACAATTTTAATACACACGACTTGTAAGGAACGCTGGCATAATGGTATAATTTGTGACGCTCGGGGGTCCCAATGCCGCGCAGTTGTCGATTCGGAACAGTTGCGAAAGACCACAAACAAGGTGACAAACTATCGATGTGGCTTTGTTTATAATTACACACGTGCTCTTGCTTGCGCTGTTGTGAATAAAGGTGATATTCGAACGAGGGCTTGTTATTCTTTATTGATTGTCGATTGAACTCATTCTTGGGAGTTGCGCAAGCGTCGTTCGCGTGGCGCTGTAGACAAGTGCGCGCCTTTTGCGGCAAGAAACGTGTCGTTACCACAAGTATCTAAGTGCTTTGTAACTAGGCTTTGTAAGCAGTAATAAATGAACACAGGTAAGTTTCCGTCGTACGGCCGGCTCAAGGAGACCAGTGCATGCAATTAAACCTCAATGCATACCTATGTTTATATTTTGTTGAACTTAACTATACACTTGCGTAAATTACATGGTCGTGTGACGAATTTTCTATAGACTAGATTGCGCCATTAATTGCAGGTTATGCAGAACTCAACTAACGAGTAGTTATAAAATGAGAAATATAATCGTAACAACCTTTTGTTTTATCGATTTGCTTTCAAAAAGCATTACAATTTTACGGCATATAAAACACAGTCAACGCTTTTTATTTGAAACTCGGCGTGCGCCGTACGTAGCCATATCCTGTTGGCAAAATTCGCCACACAAAGAGGTGGGAAAGTGGATGTCGCAAACTGAATACTAATCGTCGACAATACATCACCGGTCGTCAGGTTTCACAACTGTCTCTCAATCAGTGAAATGAGAATACAAAGAGAGCTTACGCCAGCCGTCGATCGAATTCAAAATGAGCAAAACGCTATGAAATGACACAATAAAGTAATGGCGAAAGAACATGTCCGAAGGAATATCTCATTCCCGATTACTACAAGATATATTTAGCGTTTTCAATGTACCTATAACAAAAACAACCTTTCGAGTATCTTAGCATTTAGGCTTATATCATCTTTAAAAAACACGACGACATTTCCATCATTACATACTTATTTGTAGACACTTCTGAATAAGTGGAATGACTTTAGTTTCATATTTATAAAAAGCACAAAAGTTTAAAATGAACTAGATGCTTGTGATACAATAAAATATTACTGGCGCCTCTGCTTACCCTGACCCAATCCCCTACCCCTTGGAGCCCTGGAACCTTACTCACCGACAGAAACACAACACCACCAAAAGACAGTTTGGTTTTCTGTAAGGTACAGGTTACTTCCCCAGAAAGGCGCTCCAAATCGAGCGGGAAATCCGTCATTTCCTACCTCTCTCAAAATATATATAATATACTCTCTTCTCTAATAATAATTTTGTCAATCAACGAGGGAATGCCACGCAGCAGCAAGGCTGACCATCATTGTTGCACCCGCGGCGACTGACAGCCGTCGCTTTGTTAATCACTCCACGTTCTGTGTTGACCGCAAAAAAATCGGGCGCCTCGCCCGCGCGCGCAAGGCCAATCGCTTGTCTTAGTTTCAATCGCAAACGCTGTGTAATTACGAAAAACAATACGGACTTCACGCAGCTGCTCGGTGAGCTTCAATAACAATCGCCACGACGACACAATTTTTACGAAGGCTAACTAGTCACAGAAAGGATGCGCCGCCAAGCGAAATGTCAAACTAAAGGTTCCAAGCAGCTTCGATGCAATGACTGCACAAAGCATTGTTGATATATCGTCAGGTCGGGTCACAGGATGATTACTGTTTACTGTTTATCTTCAAATGTAGCCGGCTGGCGTTACGCAACCGTTGCGAAATAAAACGGCGACGTTTGTTTGTATTGGACCCGAACAATTATTCGCTTCAAATCAAGGTCGCTCGTCGTGAGTCACGTGACAAACGTGATACTTATACTTCCGTCGAAAAACAAAATGTCACTTGCGAGAAATATGACTGTAATAATTCTGAACCGCTGAACTCGAGTCTAATAATAGCTATTAATAAACAATGAGTGGTTAGAAAGGGACATAGAAGCTTTTCGGTGTTACAAAATGAGAATAAATTAAACTTGTAGTTTATAGTTGCGCACGGGCCGCCTTTGCCTTTGCCCGACACGCTGCACAGTTGAACACGATTACAAAGCGGGTTAGGTAGGCCGCTTATCGAGCGAAATCGAGCTAGTTAGGTGACCGCGCCTTTCCAAAACCCTGGCACACCCACCGGACACTGCCATTGCCTTCACTATTGCCCTAACCGCTTCAGTAGTCTTTGTACCAACAGTCGCTAGACACAGTTCAAAGGCGCTCTCATTATCTCTCTTATTTATTATGTCGTTTAATATTTTGTACAGTATTTGTCATAAACCACCTACGTAAGTCAGTGTTGCAACTGACAGCAGACATCTTTATTGTGTATAGAAGATGCGATTAGCCATAGTAAACAAGCGCTTGTAATCAGGGCGCAGTTTCGTTACTTCATGTCAAAGAATAAATTGCAAAGCTCACTCCGAATTAAATTCACGAGAATAATCAATAGTTTTTGTAATTTATGATGACAAATCCATTGAAAGTGAACATCAATCGCGCTTATTTTGTAGTGGCAATAATGTCGCATCGATTAAAAGATTAAATCTAAATTTAGCATGACACCTCAATTTTTTCGTATTTAGGCTTCGCGGCCTTCCTGTGTTGGCATTATTCGCCATTCAATTTCCAATTAAACGGTTGATTCTCAATGCCAGCTGATCGGAGGTGGTTGCTGCGACTTGATAAAAGGCGGGCAGCGGCCCGCGGCCCGCCAGTGCCCGTACTACGGCCGTCGCTTTTGTCTCCACCGGACCTTTCACTCGACCCGCTCATGACCGCCGCAAGAGCGCGTTCGAATAACAAAGAGAACCCAACTTAGATAAGTTCGCTGAGTGATAACGATTACGAGTGCTTGTTTGTGTTTTGACATATCGATTAATTAGTGATGTTTTTCAAACTTTCAGATGGTGAGAGGGGCGGCGCTAGCGCTGCTGGCGCTGACGGCGTGCTACGCGCGAGCCAGCGTGCTCGTGCCCACCTACGTGCTGCCGCCCGATTCGTTCGTGCGCGATCAACGCAGTCTCGGACCACCGCCGGACACCGAAACCGCTGAGTCCACGAGAACGATAAAACGACTCATCGGCGGACACATGAAAATAAAATCTGACAAAGAGTACAGCTCAGTAAAAAACTCGATCGATTTCGAAGAGAAGCCGTCGAGCGGAAAATTTAACGGCGTGATTGCACCGGACCAGTCGGGCGGCACCGTAGGATGGAACCAAGGCATCTGGGACGACGGTATGCTTATGTCGAGCGCAGGGGAAGGGAAAGAGACGGTTAAAACCAAAGAGGACGATGAGGATAAAAAAACGCTCTCTGACCAAGTGGCGGAAGGAAAATATGGTCTAATACAAAACGAGATATTTTCGAAAACACCCAAACGCCCTGGAATCGTTAGCTACGAGCCAAATTCAGAGACGAGACAGAAAGACAACTTGCAAACACTCGGAGGCTTGAAGAAAGATGAAATATGGCTCGCAGAGGACCATTTGCTAGTTCTGAAAGGTGGTTCGTTCCCGGAGCGTACAAAAGAGAGCGAACATAAACCATGGCCACCGATCGACGCCTACGAGGCACCTAGAAGGCAAGTAAAATTACCGCAAAAACCTAAAGTGCCTCCGCCCTTTCCAGTACGTCTCACCGACGACGGACCGCTCATCTTCCTCACGCCAAACGGTAGTGTCCCTGCGGCCCTTTTCCCTCCCTTCCCAGCGGGAGAAGGCGAAGGCCCTCTATATCCTCCGCCATTCGCCTTCGCGCCGGGAGCGCCCTACGCCCCGGGTGACTATCCGGGAAACTCTACTGCCGGGGGATCGCCGCTGCCAATTCCTCCGTTCCCATTCCTACCCGGGAATGCGAGCGAAGGACCATTTACTTTCCCTGCATCCATGAACGGCTCTTTTCCAGAAGGATTTCCTCCGGGCGCAGCATTTCTACCACCACCAAGCAACCAGACCGACCTGTACGACGAAGACGACCCTTCGATCTACTATCCGCCGCCTTACAATTTTTCCTACCGCGCGGACTACAATAACAGCGTGCCAGCGGGACCTCTGGTACCAGGAATAATATTGCCTCCACCGCCGGATTTCTTTGCGCCAGTTGAGGAAAAAGCAGAAAGTAGCAGAACTACAACGAGGCCTACGACGGTTCCGACGTACACGAGGTATAAAACGACTGTTACGACATCGACAACGCCCGTGTACCGAAATAAATATAAAACAAGACCAACAACGACGACAACAGAGCCTACGAGAACAACAGAAACTCCAACAACGATTACTACACCTCCGCCTGTTGAGATTGTCACATATGAACCACCGAAGATTAGAAAACCACAGAGAATCCCCTCGAGGACACCGATACGCGTGCAGAATTTGCCAGATGAGATCACAGCAAGGCCGAAAACAGAAAAACCAATCTACAAAACAAGAACAAAAGTCACATCGAAACCGTTATCAGTTTCTGTCATTTACGATTATCCAGAAGAGCATAATACCAAAGTGCCGACCACGACAGAATACCCTTATATTGTATACAACTTACCAGAAAAATCACCGAACGTGTTGATCAATGAACCGGTAACTTCGACTCCGGTGCCATTGAGAGCCTACTATTCTAATAACCAAAACAATATACCAACTACGAAACTACAACCGGTGTTTAACAGGAAACCAAACGAAAACGCAGTGGCCTCTTTCTACTTTTATGATGAACAACCCAAAACTTCACCATCGCCGGCCACTTACTTCGACGGACGAAACTATTACAAAACTGTGCCATCTAATTCACCGCAGTACCAGCAGCAAAACGTACAACAGCAGTCAGGATTCGCGCCATCAGTAGACGTTGCTTATGGAGCAATCGACCAAGCTGACGCGCTATTCCTGTGGCCACAGAAGCAAGGACCCCGAACGCTAACTCAGGAATACTTCAGTATACAGAAACCAAGGCTACAACAAACGTACGTCCAACAAAACAAACAACGTCCGGAAACATTCTACCAACAGATAGCGGATATTCAACAGACGATTGATCTCTTTACGACGAAAAGGCCAAAATCATATTCTCATAGACCGCACTTACACAAACCGAAAGCGATCACTTCGCGACCTGTTTATCAATTCAGCTATCAATCACAATCGAGACCAGAGCAACTGACATTCCGAGCTCCAAAACTGGATCCTGAACCCTTCCGTCCCATGGTGAGCTACAGCAAACCTTTTAATCTACAGAATGAATTCAATGCAATTACACCATCTGTATCACCGGGTTATCATCAACAATATTTAATTGAAAACGTCCAGGTGACTACTGAAACACCAAACCCGACCAGATTTTATCCTAAGACAAAAATCAGAAACGAAGACTACGCCGATGCACATGTCAGCAAAGATGTACGACCAAAAGGAAACAGAAACCACATACCGATTCAAAACGACAAACCTGCCGCGCACCACGTGACCAGATACCCTAGCACCACAGCCAACCCTATAAGTCACGGTTACTACACCAAACAAGACGAACGGTACCTCGATGATATCACGAAGAATTCATTCGACGTGTTCGGAAAGAAATTAGAAGACAACACTTACGACGTGAACAGTTTGGCCGTTACGGAACCCCTAGAGACTGTCAAGACACCGATCGACAACGACCCCAACCAGAGATTCGCTTACGACATCATCGAACAGCAAGGCAACCCGCCTTCCCTAGACAGAGACACCCTGGTCAACGACCGGCTGCCGAGACCCACTGTGAACCCCGACAGCGAACCAATAGCACCTCACAAAGCAGAACTGGTAGAACAAAATCCACCGTCGCTACTGCACGATACCCTGGTGAACGACAGGTTCCCGAGGCCGCCTCTCAACCCCGACAGCGAGTTCGTTCCCATTGCGAATCCTCAGCAGTACAGGGTGCAGTCGCAAGAGCAAAGGACGCAGTACACCGGCGAGCAATATGACCTGAACAGGCCTTCGCTGGCGGGTGACACGGCCGTGAACTACGCGAGACCTCTGCCGCCCGTGAATCCTGATGCGGAATGGATAGCGCCCGTGAACGCGGCGGGCGAGGGCAGGCCGGGATCGTATGTGTCATACAGACTGCCGGGAGAGGGCGCGCACGTATACTTCCTGACCCCACAAGCGGCTCAAGCGGCTCAAGCAGCTCGCGAAAGATACCGCGCGCCCGGCTACGGCCGGTGAAACCAAAGCTCTAGTCTCTACTGTGAACGCCGCGCTGCTAACGCGACGTTAACGTGTAAATATAAAGCGCAAATGTGATGTTTTAAGTGTCCTAAGTAGTGTAAGATAATACGAAAGACTAGCGGCACGACCGCATTGCCATAATATTAAAAGTGAAAAAACGCAAAGTTTTTTTGTTTTGTCTAGTTGTAAGCGAAATTGTTGACATACAAAAACGGACGCTACGATGTCGATAAATTATTATTTATTAATTATTTTTAAGAGAAAGTGGTGCATGCATTATGATTAGTTGATTAATTTATTTGTCAGTATTCTCATTGAACTCTAGGGAATGATGTGATATGATTGCGCGAGTGTCAATGACTGCGAGTGTATTGTTATTGTAATGGCGTCGAGTAAAAGTCGCCGTAGTTGTTATTTATACAGACTAATTGATGTGATTTTGTATTTTATCAAACGAAAAAAGATTAAATAAACTTTTTAATACTTTAATGTTGTTTTTAATACTATGGTTAATGCTATGAATTACCCAGTGCGTTAAAACGTGAACAAGTTTTCATTACTGTGAGCAAACTTAGATAAAGCTGGTTGGTGGAAAAGTTAAGTTAAATAATTCCGTGAATGGCCTGGTTCATTAGCCCACTTGCTTAAGGCCGGTGCGCATAAAAAGATAAAATAAATGTCATGGCCCTCGGTAAACGCGGTGACAGAGCACAATAAGCTTGTTCACATTTTATCACACCAAGGAAATGCAGTACGCTCCATTTCACGCAAAACAACAGGTCCGATCAATGACCCTAATCGACTTATCAACAACATCTCAAATAGCATTACATAAGATCGTAAAAGTTATGCCTGTTAGATTAGATACGATAAGATTAAAATATGACTAAAATTAAACAACGATTCTATAAGGCTGGTGATATACAGTGCGACAAAATGTAATTTATTCGTCTTATTAAAATGTCGCAAATAATTTCAACGTCATTCGTGAGGTAATTTTCGTTTCGTTCCACTTTGTAATTTACATAAAGTGTTATCAAATAATACTACAAGCACATCGACAATTTGGGTTGGAAATAGCATTTAGTTAACTACGTTCAAAAATAGACTTTGGAAATAAGTAACAAGATAGATTATATAGCATTTAATGGCGTAACGTCTGCTGCGATCGCTCTAACTCTAGGCCGTTTTCTAGCTTAACAGTCTCTGGTTCAAATCCATAGATAAGAATGTTCGTATGCGTAAAGTAATCAGAAATGTTTGTTACGTTTCATGTGGTAAACAAGGTCTTACATTATTATAAGGTACATATTTTTATGGAGACATATTTGAATTACTTCTAACTAAAGTATCATGTATTATGGAACTAACTAAAAGGCTATTTATCAATATGAAAAATAAAGTACCAAATTATTGGCATATGTATTAAACATGAATATTGGGATTGCTTTCACCATTCTGACAAAAAAAGTAGTTGATAATATTACTAAAAATCATGAAATAGAAAAATCTTTTTTGATCTATTGACACGTGACCGAAAACGCCTGGGATTGGCAGAGCCTAAAATGACAACGTTTGTAAACATGCTGTCGAAGTAACAGTACTTAGTACAGTTTGACGTTTTAATGAGAGTCGAGTGACGTCACCTGTCTGTAAACATGCGATATTTGGTAGAGAAACATTCCGGCGGCATATTTGAAAACTGAAAATTTATCATCGTATGTTTACTGATATACGCAACAGAATAAGCTATTTGATAGTATGAAAAATAATGTACCAATTGTTAGCATCTGTATGAAATATGAATATGAGCAGTGATTTCATTATTCTAAACAACGATATTAAATACCCTAGATACACCAACACGAACAAAATCGTGCCCGAAATCTGTCCAAAAGGTACATTGAACGATCCACGGAGCTCCGTAAGATGATCGCGTAGCCAAAATCAATATAAGGCATTATTTAAATTAGCAATATAGCAGGCACGGACCGCGAGGAAAAGAGACGGCTATATGGCAACGTATAACCATATTACATTATTGATAATGAATGTAATGTATTGATATAAAAGAGAAACATTATCATCAACTAGCAGACTTGGAAAATAAAAGCCGGCGCCAAGATTTTTATCTCAGCTCAATTCTGAACTTTATGGCGAATAAAATAAGTTTACTAGGGGTTTTCCCACATTTAAGCCTCTGTCTAATATCAAATGCATATTTTATGTAGTTTTTAATGGGCAAAACAATAAAAAAAGCAATTTCACGAAACTAATTTGCCATTGGTAAAAATATAAGTAGAATTTATGGTCATAAAAGTAGTTCATTAAATTTAATTTCATTCTGAGTAGATTGACCTCAGCATAGTGGCGTATCAACATTCAGATAGACTAAAAACTTCATGATAAACTGTGCATAAAAGTTGTTTTTTATGACAAAAGGGTGGCAAAGAAGCGTATGACCCGCCTAATGGTAAGCGGTCACCATAGCCTATAGAAGCTTACATGACCAAAAATATCACTCGAACTGTTGCCTACCCTGGGCCAATCCCCTACCCTGCGAGTAACCTTACTCACCGACAAAAACTCAACATCACCAAAGGCAGTATTATTTTAAAGTGGTCTTCTGTAATCTACATTACATTACTTCCTCAGACGGGCGCTCCAATTTGAGCGGGACAATCGCTATGCCCTACCTCTCACGGTCACTTTCTTTATCACACAATGTCTTACGCGGGACAAGGATGGAAAACTGAAAGAGGGCGTCTTTAGCCTTCGGACCACACAGCTCTCATCTTTCAATCTAGACAATTATATTAAAAACGGGTACTAGCCGGTGAAGAGAACTAAACCAAATTGGCAGAACATACATATAGTATGTATGTTGTTTAAAACTTTCATGGTCACTAACATTATAGTTACATAAACAGTGAGAATGCGACCTATGGTAGGGGTGTCGAGCGCAAGATAAGACGACATTAGAGGGTAGACTGATAACTAGATAAATTCTTTATTACCCACACAAAACAGAAAACAAAAATTTAATGCGGGCAAATGCGGCCTTATAGCTTTAAGCGATCTCTTCCAGACAAGCGTTTCGGTAAAGGATAGCTAAACGAAGAGGAAGTTGTAGTATGCCAGCAAGATAAAACAAAAAAAAACGAGGGAGCTTTACAGTAGTCGCGTATGATGTGTAACATTTGAAACCTCACCTTATTTTAGTGAAAAAGAAAAGAAACCTGCTACAAAAGGAATAAGCCATTTGAACATTATGTTCTAAAATCAAATCAAATAGCGCGCGCTTTCGCGATTTCCTGTTACACACTGCCGTTCCATTTCACGAAATCACTCCCACAAATTGCAGGAAAGCGAGAGGAAAGATGTTACACATTCAAAAATAGGCCTGCCAATAACATCTACCTGCAATAACTTCAGTTACTCCATGTCCATGCCGAAATATCGGGGACTCACTAAAAATAGGGTACCTACATGGTAGCAATCCCGTTAATAACTATAAAACATTTTTACACGAACAGTTATGCGATTAGTGACCTAACAGCTAAAGCAATAAGTGTGAATCTCACCTGTATCGGGCTCTGCGGTCTGCGGCGCATCCTGCAGCGGCTGTGTATACAGACGCAGGTACACCTGAATCGCGACGCGCGCACACCTGTCAAACATGCCATACGTCTGTACTGTACAAGTGATGACCTTGGTAACGTAAAGAATAAACACGAAAATTGAGGCTGAAAATGGACTCAATTGCATATTTAGCCTTTATAATTTTTATTTTTTAAGCATGTAACTGCTCGATGTATAAATCTAAAGAAAATAGCACTAGAAATATTTAGGCTGTTTTTGATAATTGGTTTGTTTGGTTTTTAACGTAAACATTTTTAACGTAAAAACACTGATGTTTGAGGGAATCACTAAAGAATTAATTTCAGTAGTTTATGCGACTGTCATATAAGAAGGGGCATTATTGGACTCTAATGTTTTAATACCTAATTAAATGCAGTTGCATACACTACTTTATCTTAATTCATAGAAACCATTGAAATTAAACAAAGTAGCTAGGTAATAAAGTATTTTACAAAACTTTTCTGTACCCTTATCACGCACCAATATCGAATTCGAATAATTTGCGAGTACGAAATGTCATTGTCAAATTTTGTATGGAAACTTGAACAGCAGCGCCATAACGGAAGTAACGAGAACTAAAAATCAGTACACATTTGACAATGAAATTTCGTACTCGAAAACGTTACGAATTCGATATTGATTCGTGCTAAGGGTACAGTACCCCTAGCACGTAAATAATACTTATATAATAATAAAAAATATAACTATAATTGCTATTTCTTCTTTCAAATGTTCAATACTTGTAAAAATATTCATTTGACATTGTGGGTTACCTACAATGCGAAGAAATGGCGCTGCCTCGCAGCTTAAGAATGGCTAGAAGAATTTCGATGCGGCCGTCAGGGCCGCAGTAGCATAATTGGTCAGTACATTCGCCCGGATAGCGAAGGGTGCGGGTTCGAGTCCCGTCTGCTGCCTGGTCTGCGTGGATTTTTTTCTAGTTATATTTTCTTTTGATTTAAACTTTATAATTATTAAGTTTCGGCGCTGTTGTACTGAAGCGCGCGTGAATGACAATGTTCTTTTTTGACATTGCATTTAAGTGTTTTATTCTTGAAAATGTTTTCAGGATCATAATATATATTTAACCCATAGCATAAGATAATTGGTAAAATTTCTATTCCACACTAAAATTACATATACGATAATTGCACAACTAAATGCTCGTCTCTAATGATAATGACAAACAATAATTATTTCTTTTAAATTACGAAATAATTTGGAATAGGAAACTTTATGGACGCAAAAACGTCAAAACGACCATCATAGCGTGCCGCTACTGTAGTAAAAAAACAATACGAGTATGTATAGTTACCGGAAGTAGAAGGGATGCGACCGCAGCACATCTTCGAGCCTCAGGAGGCCAACGTACGAGCGCAGAGTCATCTTGCGCATACAGTACGAGTGGAAGTCGAACTGATCTTCCATTATTTCAGAGAAATGCTGAAAACAAAATAAATTAATATGTATATAGCGGTCACGGTTATCCTTAAACTCTTAATAAATAAGAATTAAGATACTACACTCAAAACAATTAGCCTAGCTGTAACAGTGCAGTGCAAGCCCTAAAAGAATATTATATATATTTATTTCAGATATAGAAAAGAAATGATGAAAAAATTACCTAAAATACCCAAGTTTGTTTACTAAAACAAAGGAGATTGCTCAGCTTCCATACATGTTTGGCCTAAAGACCCAATAATCATGAAAAATTGTTTCCTAGATTCGAAATTATATATAAATTACTGTAGAAACGAATATTATTGATGGACACCCCTGAGAACTTCTATAAATCATATACACTGAACATATTAAAATAATAAAAAGCAAATAAGTTATATAGTAAACTAGGGAAATCAAGCCAATTACCGAAATTATGGATTAGATTCAGATATATAGAGCATGTAGATTAACAGATAGTTGCCTGTTTTTAAAGTTAATGCATAAGAGTAACTTTTAAAATCAGGTGTCATTTCCGGCTATAATAAGGTAGGTACTCTGTGACAGAAACTGTGTGATGATTGTGAATGAGCCACAGATTAGAGACAATTTTTAAACTCGTTAACCAAATAAAGCTAAGAGATTTAGGTACTATAGCCATATATTCAGTAGCTTCATTATTTTTGTTATGTTTTTAAGATAACCATATTTTAGATTTTAAGTGTATCACACCTTATAATTTTATTTATTTATTAATTTATAGTCAGGGAACGTAGGCCCATAGATAGATATCTGTATATATAAAAGTCCTTAAAGTCTATTATATATACAGATTTTAATGTGTTTATGGAGGTGTTTGGCGAAAAATGTATGGCAATAGACTTTATGATGTCGCCTACCATTTATAATAATTGTCTGAGCACATTTGCATCTAGTGAAAATGATAATATAGTTGTGGATATCAATACAGTGTAATAAAAAAAATGATTTATTTTATCGATCTTTACATAATAGATTTGTTTTTATTGTTATATAAACCACTTCGATCAGTCTTTGGCTGAATGTTACTTAGCATAGCCATTAAAAATGATTCGTATGTTTTCCAAACCGGTAAAATTAAAAGTCCTTTTTAAAGTAAATATTTTATACAAAGGTCCATTGAAATCTAATGACTGTAAATTAAATTATAAATTACGCCAAGAACTACCGTGTATGACAATATTTTTTGTGCATTTAGGCCAATTTGAGCAATCTCCTTTGGGCAATCATCCAACGTATGTTTAGGACAGTTTTTAGGTAAGATTTTGTTCGTAATGTATCTAGGATTTTTAGTATGCTTGGATGTGATTATTTATATGCCTAGCCTAGTTAAAGCAATCCAAATAAATCATACACAGAACAATGTGTGCGTGTGTAGCGACATGCATTTCTATATACTTATATATGTATCAGTACATGTATTCTATCCGTTATCCTAGTATCCTATAACACAAGCCTATAGTGCTTACTTTGGAGCAAGGTTATTGGTGTGAGTGTTGAAAATATTTATTTATTAATATTATCAAAGATTTTTGGTTAATATTGATACTTGATCTTGATGGGAGGAGCTCGACGGCGCAAGTGGTTAGCTCGTTCGGCTGCGATCGTTGAAGTTAAGCAACTTTCGCAGTGGTCGGTCATTGGATGGGTGACCAAAAATTTACTATCTCGAGTTCCTCCGCGCTTCGGAAGGCACGTTAAGCCGTTAGTCCTGGCTGCATCTGCAGTCGTTAGTACCCGCCAAAACGTACTGGGCCCGCGTGGTGGGTCATGGGCATGGCCCATCTTCCCGTTTCAATTCATAGGGAAGGCCTGAGCCGCAGCAGTGGGGACATCAATAGGCTGATGATGATACTTGATCAGGCTAGTAACACGATTAAAAACGGTTACACTCACCCTGTCGACCTCGTGGGCCTTCTTAAGGGCATCTCCCCACTGATGCAGGCGCTGGTAGGCTGCCGCAGCCTCAGTTTGGAACCACATGCACTGCATCTCGTTCAGATTTTCAGTCGCTGGCACACCTGCGATGTTAATAAATAAAATTGACGACCTCCGTGGCCCAGTTGTTTGTACGCCGGGTTTCATGGTGTCGCCGACTAGAGAGATTCCGGGTTCGAATCCCGGTGGGGGCAGATGTTTGTGTGATGAATATGAGCATTTGTACTCCATTCACGGATGTTTAAATATGTATTTATATAAATATACTTATATATGTACAGTATATGTATTCTATCCGTTACCCTAGCATCCCATAACACAAGCCTTATAGTGCTTACTTTGGGGCTAGGCTGATTGGTGTGAGTGTTGGAAATATTTATTTATTGTATTTAAATATATAACAAGGGTGGACAGTCAAACAGCCATCGTCCGATGGGACCCGCCTGAACTCATAAATACATACTTTTTTAACCTAATGGTTTGACGACCTGGTAACGCTAAAACCTAAACTTAAAAGTAGCTGTTCTGTCCGGCTATTAAGACCGACAATACAGCCAGTTTGGCCGAAAATTTCGGTAAAAAGGCCGAACACTATTGAGGATTTTGTGACTCAGTAATATTTAGGTACTATAATGACAAAAAAAAGGAAAACAGTCAACTCGCTTGCGATCGGCCACACTCGGCGTTAGCTCGTTTGCGAAATGTAAATAGCCTAACAAAAGCCGGACAAGCCGGAAACCGTGTATTTTGGCTGGACACGCAATTAAAAAGCCTAACTATGTCCGGCTTTATCCGGACGCCTGGCAAAGCTACGTCCAAGCATAGTTCAGCCGATAACGACTGAAGTGTATTCAAGGTTATAGGAAATTAATAATAAAAGATGGATGAAATAGTTAACTAAGTAAGGATATGACGTGGTAGTTAAGCAACTTTCGTAAAGATCGGTTATGGGAAACTTTTCAGCTCCTCCGTGCTTCGGGAGGCACATTAAGCCGTTGGTGCCGACTGCATCAACAGTCGTTATCACCCACCAATCCGCACTGGACCCACGTGGTGGATCATGTCATGTCCCAATCTCCCTATTCCATCCATAGTTAAAGCCTATGCTTCAGCAGTGGGGTCACTAATAGGCTGATGATGAAATACCATATCCTATAATATACGAGTATATCTATAAAATCATTAAATAGAAACTATTATTTTGCTCCATGGTCACGACGCCGAAAACGCCAAGACTAAAATGATACGTCACACGCTAGTAAACTTCGGCCAAAGTGACGTACACTGTGTCGTTTGACGTTTTAATGACAGTCATGTGACGTCACCCACTAGTTAGAGGCCATAATGTCCAGAGCAGGGATGTTGCGAACATTCGCATCTGCATCCGCAAATGCGGAACATCCGCATTGATTTGGACATCTGCATCTGCTTCCGCATCCGCATTAATCAATGCGAATGTTCATGCGGATGCGAATATTATACAAGTAGCGACAAGAAAGAAATTGGGCGGGGCCGGTGATTGACTCGTGCCGGTCGCACGTGACAATAACCAATGGGAGCGAAGAAATTGGTGACAAGATTCGACACGTTTGTTTGTTCTAGCTAGTGCATCAATTGTTTCTTGCAAGTGAATAAATATTACGTGTTTGTTTGCGCTGTGATGTGAAAGTGAACTACTTATCGTATCATAAAGATAGATAGGTATTTTTAATGTTGTTGTGATACAGTGTGTAAATAAGAAGAGTTTACAAGAAAACTTTATATTATTTAAAACTAATATCCATAAGATCACAAGGTAAATTCTATTATATTACGCCGGTAATACGTTTTATTGTAGGAAAAATTATCGTTTTATGACGAAATTCGTTATTTTACCAGTGTGATTCCCGTTATTGATAGTTTATCTAACTATTTAGTCAACAATGTCACCACCGACCAAAAGTAATGTATAGGATTATTTTGAACCAAATATATATAACCATAATATCTTATACATCCGCATCCGCATCTGCATCCGCGGATGTGAGCCTGCTAAACTCCGCATCCGCATCCGTATCCGCGGATGTGAAAATATCGGCATCTGCAACATCCCTGGTCCAGAGAAACGTTTAGGCGGCAACTTGAAATTTTTATTGTAATTGTTTTTAAACAAAATTACACAATATAATTAAAAATATTATATACAATATAACCACTTTTAATGGACTCCACAAACATAAGTAAATAATGTGACATCTATTTCTAAAACTTGTCAAATACCCTATTTGTTTACGCCAATAAATCCCCAAATTTATGTTGCTTTAAAAGTACATAATAGATAAGGCGAAAGTGTTGGTGTCAACTGTTACTAGATGGCGCCATCAGTTTGTATACATAGTGTGAACTCTGAATGGCGATGTTGAGATTTTTACCTGATTGTATAAGCCTTAGATCTAGTATCTTTTCGAATACATTTATTCCTTTGAATTTAAAAACCGATCAGTCGGCTAGTTGGTTAGTCAGCAAACACTATAGTCGGCCCGTCTCTAATAGATATATATATATATGTGTATGATACATATGTTACCTTCTCTAGTGAACTTGGCGCACATATCCTCGGCCCTCTTCACGTGCCCCGCCCGTAACATATATCTGGCACATTTGCTGTTAACATAGCGATCGGCTGTGTCCATAGCCTGTGCTTCTTCTAGCCATTGGTAAGCGGACACTGGATCGCCAGCGTGCTATAGTAATGAAAAATGTGCTCGATTAATACATATCCTATGTCTATACTACCCAGCAAATATCTTGAGCAATGAACATAGACAGGGAAGGCTGCGTAGTAGCAATTTTACCCACTAAAACATATTTGTCAGTGGATTTGATGGGACAGCAAAACTGCTAGATGTTTAAATGTAAAAACATACTAGAAAAATAACAACGGGATGGGTTACCTACAATGCGAAGAGATGGTAGCGCCATCTCCTAGCAGCCTCCTTGCAGCCTAAGAAATACTAGAAGAAATTTGACACTGCCATCGGCCGCGTTAGCATAATTGGTCAGTTAATCAGTCCGGTAAGCGGAAGGGTGCTATTTTGAATCCCGTCTGCTGCCTGGCCGCGTGTAATTTTATCCAATAAAATTTTCTTAATATATGCAGAAAAGGACATTGACAAGGTCAAATCATAATAGTGTTTGTATAGAAAATAAAACTTTGTGCCTTGATTCAACAGCTCATGTTACGCGAAATGTGTGCGTGACTCTAATATCCTATTGTTTGAAAGCAGTCAATGTGTGCATGTGTCGCGACGAGCTTATCTACCATGTGTAGTAGATATTTTTTTCGGGCTGCTTCCCTGCAGTTTATACGGTAACTCGGAGGGTATATAATCATAGCCTTTGTGATATATACAAAAATCAGATGTGTTTTTGTCATACTTTAATTAGATATTTAAATTACTCACCTTAAATATCCTTCCTTTCACAATAAACAATTCAATGAGCGTGGGAGTATGTTCTATCGCAGCATCTATGTAATGGAGGGCTCTGTCCGTATCTTTCTTGTAATCAAAGTGCTGTGCAGCGAAGTAGTAAGCCCATAATAAAGCACTGGCCGGCTGCTTCACCTCTTCAGGCTCGGAACTGAATGTACCGCTCTTGGTAAGATTCTCTATGTACTGTAACACTAGTTTCTCTATTGTGTCTGCTTTACTTTGGTCTGCATATAACGACCTGGAAAGTTAAATTATGTTGTGTTAATTATCCCAATTTTTTTCTCATTTCCTTAATACAAGTGTGTCAGGTTTATCTGAATGAATGATGCCTTTTTATCATATTATATTTCTTTAACTTCAAGTTCTACTTGAAAAATCTATAACAATGTTAACAAGAATGCACCAAAACTCACCTGAGATCGACAAACAAAGGCGGGATGCCTTTATGGAGCCCGTGCCTTAGGTATTCGTCGACGAGGCGGCCGAACGCCTGCGCTCGCGCCTCCGTTAACTGCAAACGGCGTGGGGCTATCGATTTCGGGTATTCCTTCCTGGTATAAAACAGTGAATAACCACAAATAAGTCATACGTATAAGGTATATGTACAAGTTTATAATTTTTTTACACAGTCATTCAAAAACGGAACCAAATTTGGCAAACATAGTTAATTACCTGGATTGAGACATATGACAGATGTTATACATAAGAAGTAGAAGTGCCCACCATATATTAGCAAAATATCTATAAAAATATAAGTATGTATGTATATATTTTTTGAATAGCTCATAACTTTCTTAAGATAATGATAGTAATCATACCCTGTCTATTGGCTGTTATCATTGGTTATGATGATAAAATATCACTACTCACTTATACACATCAAAAAAGGCCACTTTTTCATCAGGGTCACTTAATTGTTTAGCTTCTATTAATTTCTGATAATACATCACATTTTCTGGGTTTCTCTTTAATAGATCTTCATACACTGCTTCAGCTTCTTTGAACCTGCAAAATTATAAGTAACATGGTCATCATTCATTAAGTGAAGAATGCGTGCTTCATTAATTTGTATGGTTATAAATTTATTTTCAGAACCACTCTGCTGGTACACAACATCCAAAACTTCAGACATATTCACACTTTGGTAAATGAATAAAAAAACATTGAGAAAACTTAATACAATATATCTTACAGATTAAACTTTGTCATATAACTGATAATATAAAATGAACATAGCACAAAAAGTCAACCTTGACCAAGTGGTTACAACTTGGCATTTATGAGGCAATTTTGGAACTTACCTCTTCAATTTTAAATAATATTCACCAGAGGTCTCTTTAATTGATAACTTGTCAGAAATTTGGCTTTGGAACTTGTGCAAATGCAGCAAGGCCCTTTCATATTGGCCTGATTCTGCTAACACCATATTTTGATAAAGCAGCAATTCTGAATGCTCATAGTCATATGGCCCCTTCATTTGGTTAGTACGAAAAGCATCTAGAATACTGTTTGCCATTTCATAGTCTCCTAACAAATGATAGCTCATTGCAAAGCCTATCCATGATGCCCTTTGCGTTGGTCTAAGCGTAAAGAGTTGATATCGAGTATCCTGAAACAAACAAGTTTCACTTTGCAATATGGCCACTTCAAACAGAGAATGACAAGCCTAGTTAAGGTATCAAAGATATGAAAACATGAGATGGGTATTACTATACAAATTTTACAATAACTTGGCTGAATATATGGAATTTACTTAATCAATATAATTTTTTATATTACACTTACTTTATAGCCTTCTAAATCCCGCATCTGAATTTGGAGTAAAGAGAGATCTCTTAAAATTTGAATGTTTTCCTTTTCCCATTTCAATGCATTTCGATAACACTTTATAGCTTCGTCATATTTTTTGTCTGAGCGTTGAAGGAGACCATAAACATGCCAACAGACTGGTGACTTTAAATCATTGCGCAGACCACGACGCACATATTCATATGCTTCATCTTTGCGACCCAAGCAATTTAAAGTCAACCCTTTCATTGCCAGTGTTTCTGAAAAGAATTACACAATACATACAATAGTTAAACAAACAGTATTTGATCTTTTAAATTTTTATTAATAATTATGTAGTAGTAAGTTGAAACTTCGTGTGTAATCAATCAAGTATGATACACAAAAAAAATCAATAACTTTCCTTAGCAATGAAATAGCAATTTTGTGTGTACCAATAATATTAGAATAGAAAAAACAGACAGCAAAACTTACCTCCATGCTCTGCAAATTTTGGGTTCGATAGTATTTGCTTTGCGAATTTTAAACCATTTTTATATTGTTTATGTTCGTAGCAACGCTAAAAAATAAATTAAAAATTACTTCTATCTAACCTCTATTTATAAATAGATACAACCAAATATCGTAGATACTAAGTTTGTATAACTCTAAGGAGTACTTTTATAGAATTCTTAGACGTAATTTTGCGTATAGTCGTCATATTTGGGATATGTTATCAAATACATTCTAAGCAAACAATTCACTATTTTCAAAAAAAAATACTACAAATTCGTAGTAATTCGCAATGAACTGACAAGAACCTTACAACAAAAATCTATGTTTACATGAATACTTACCAAAATTCTTTTAAAAAGTGCATTTTCTTTAGGCGGTAGAGGATTACTAGGTGGCATTTTGTCCTAATAAAATGAATCTTTTTTATTATTTCACTATTAAATTGATGTATTTCTAAAAACCTCGTGGCTATAAACCAAAGAAGTCGATGAAGATTATTGTCTTGTCTTTGGTATATTGGCAGTGGTCACGTGACCTCACAGTGTGACCATTAAAATATATTTTTCTCGCTAAATAGTTTTTTGGTAGAATTCTATAATATTTGTAAATCTGTTTATCTCTTTACCGTTTTCAATGTAGTTCCGCACAGCATTATATCCTTAATTCACGATGAGCTGTACTGTAACATACGAATTGTAATCTATTCCGTACATTATTATCAGAATAACATCCATTCAAAACAAAATTAAATAACACTACTAAATGATAAACTATCATCAATCATCATCAAATTATCCATTAAAATAAACCTATAAAAAACCTCGGATTTATATCGATGACTGATGATATATGATCGGATGATCGGATTTTAACTTGTCCTTACCCTTTCAGAGCATATACCACTGAAGATGCCATACCGTTCACTCGCCGAACAAAATTTTTCACCATTTTTATAGCACTCTAATGAAAATATGCAATACTCCCACAAACACGAGCGTGTTGTTGCTATAAACGCACACTTCAAAAATTACGTCACACAAACAAAAAAACGCACACACGCTAACATTTTTTAAGTAAGTTTGCAATTGTTCGAGCATACATCAACACAAAATTAAGGATGCGACATTCAAAGAATGAACGATATTTGAATGAACAGTTCTTGATGAATGAACCTAATGTTTGTTTATAATGAAAACAAAATGTTTCATTTATAAATATCTATCTGAAAACTTATTTACAGTTTTAGGACTTATGATCTTTATGCACAAAATACAAAGATTTTTTTTGCAAATTATATTGCTGTGCAAAATATCTTTCCAACTGATTTTGCTGCCTTTTATCGGATACCCTGCCTATACTTAATTGCTTTTACATCCTTAATAATAGCAGTGAGTGCATGAGTATATTGTCACAAAACACTGCGTAACTGACCCAAACTTATCTATTCTTTGTTTAATAAAATGGGGATAGCGAATTAATATACTTCAGTGAAGTAAAATTATTTGATTTACTGATAATGTTTTCTTCAGTGGTTTAAGAAGTCAATAATTTTATCATGTGTCATTTGTCTTATACTATGTAATGTGTTATACTGACCACATCAATATTGAAAATTTTGTATATTTTATAAAATAAATTGACTTGGCAATCGCACTCAACACTCTAATTTAATATAATATATGAGGTACATGTGTTTTCATGTGATTGACTTGTTTTTTACAAGTTATGTTTTTGATGGCATATGTATTGAGTACGTACGTACGTACGGAGCTCGATAGCCCACGTGGTTAGCACGTTCGGCTTGCATTTGTGGAGGTTAAGCAACTTTGGCAATGGTCGGTAATTTGATGGGTGACAAAAAACTTATTATCTCGGGCTCCTGTCGAACCCTATGCTGTGCCCCTCCAGTGGGGATGTTAACATACTAATGCTGATAATGTATTCAGCATATTATTTTAAAAAAAAATCAAGAATGAACTCCTCTGTCCCACAATATAAGTCATATATCTAGCATTTCAGACCATTTGAAGATATTTAACGGGATGTGTTTGTTCCAAAGCTTGACAAATTTTACATTGTTTTTTAAATATTAAGAAATCATTTTATTTAAAACCATTACTATCTCAAAAAAAATCAATCTTCCGCATAAACATACTACAATAATATAGTCCACTGAAATAAGAAAAGAGATGTTTTGATATCGGAATCGCCTTTTTAATAAAACCAATAAGTCCAGTCAATGAAGGTTTTCACCTCCGATTTCGTTGAACCTCCATCGATTTTCATCAAAATAGGTGAGTAGGTGGGGAACACCTTAAGAAACAAAAGTGACATAGTGCCAATTTAAGTTTTTGCCCTGGAGGTTTCTTCTTGGCGGTGAAAACTATTTTAATAAAAATAACTCCAGGAATCGATGGAGAGACAAATTCTAAGTAAAATTTGTTATACAAAGTTTTTAGAATAAATCAATACTTTCTGAGTTATTAAAGATCAAATATTGTGATTTTTCGTGATAAACATACATGTTTGAAAGTGGTTTTTCAAAAATAACTCAATAGCTATGAGTTTTAACAAAAAAATATTATTACCAAAATTAAAGTGACTAAAAAACAAACATACCCCTACTTTGAAAAACCCTTCTAATATTAATTCAAAGTGAGCTATAGGTAATTCTTAGTATATTTTTTTTGGGCGAGTACTTCAATCTAGGTATTCAAACCTAAATAACGGGATACCGATGCATTTTATGACATATACTTCCTGAACAACTTTTGTAGTATTTTTAAAGTATTTGGAAATACATTTCTAATGAGTACTGTAACAAGTTAATAGAATAAAAATTGAGCAAGTTATGATAAAAAAAAAGATGACACGATTTTTTTTTGGAAAAAACGAAAAATAAAACCTTCACCATTTCCACAAAAAATCAAATTTATGGTTATCCCTAAAGGACTTCCTTTTTTTAGCATAAATGATGACCTCAATTTTTTTTCCCTATTTTTCATTTATTTGCTTATTTTTCAAAAAAAGTATGATTTAATAAAATGGAAAATTTTCATATTTTCGTATATTTTATTTTCTTTTGAAAATGTTGGACCTTCGTAAAAAAATATAAAAAACGAAATTTGAGTTCTTTTTTTAACAAAGATTTTGGTTTTTATTTTATTTTTGTAGGATGAAAAATAACCGAAATTGAGCCGTTAAAAGCCTTACTTTTACTGCGAGAACCATGTAACCGGGACCCTTTAACCCTTTATCTTTTAAAAAATAAGCGCGTCAAAAATTAGGGTTGTTTGTTTTTTTATTACCTTCAGTTTTGGTTATAATACATTTTTTGTAAAAACTCATAGTTTTTGAGTTATTCATGAAAAACCGCTTTAAAACGTATGTTTATCACGAAAAATCACAATATTTGATCTTTAATAACTCAGAAAGTATCGATTTATTCCAAGAACTTTATATAACAAATTTTGCTTAGAATTTGTCTCTCTATCGATTCCTGGAGTTATTTTTATTTAAATAATTTTCACCCCCGAGAAGGTGTGGCATCTACCCCCAGGGCAAAAGCGCAAGTTGGCATTATGTCACTTTTGTTTCTTAAGGTATCCCCTATCTACTCACCAATTTTCATGAAAATCGATGGAGATTCAATGAAATAGCTGATTTTTGCCTTCATTGACTGGACTAAATAATAATATTTGTATTATTCATAGTTTTCGATAATGCTGCTTACGAATACGACAGTAATTTTGTGAACCAAGATGGCGAAATGTACTTTTTACTCGACTGCGGAGGGTAATGTTTTTCGAGTGTATGTATGTATCTCCGTTTCTTAGGTACGCCCTACAACCACAATGACTTGACTTACGAGGTATCATTTAATTTGTCGTGATTGTGTAAGTAAAACTGGGTATATTCAAATAGAAAAAATCTGTATTTTAAAATCCTTCACTTTGATAGCCCATTTTATTTAAAAACTTGTATCATGCGTTAAATATTGCTGATATTTGGTAACAAAATGAAAAACCTTGAAAAAAATTGCTAATAACCTTTTGAGCGGGGTATGAAAGAGATGGGTTTTAATATGAAATTCAGAAAATATACAAATAATATGCAGTGGTAGTCATATAATTAAAAACACTTCTTATGAATAAAGAAGTATAACTTCAACGTACAAATGTTCATAAAAAATATACACATTTAAAAATTAATAATCTGCAATAATATAGCCACTCTAATAAAAAACTAATTAAATGCATAAAATATAAAACTTATCCTTCTTTTAATTACAAAATGAGTCTTACACATGTACGAGTTTATTTTCTGTTACTGGACACTTGGACGCCCAATTAGAAACATTTATAAAAAGCATCCATAGCTCGTTCTTTTTTTATTATTGGAAAATAACATTTCTTTCTGGGCTTTTTCTATAATTTTGGCGGCAATTCAAAATGTAATCTGAATTTTATTTTGTTCAAAATGGACATAAATAAAAGTTGTGACGCGTCAACTAGGCAAATAATTGTTAACTTATATATAAATCGTAAGTGGGCATACAGAAGACTAGCTGAGCATTTAAATTGCTCTGTTATGAATGTGTTTAATGCAATTGATTATTATAAAACACATGGACCTGTTGAAAATGTTCAGCCAAGAAAAACCTCTCCCAGAGAAGATACGCTAATCATTCGTGGTGCTAAAAAAGACCCAAGCAAGGGCTCCAACCACATTAAAAATGAAGTTTTTTCGCCTGATGACCCAAGAAACATCTCGTCAAGTCTGATATGCTGAAGATTAGTGGAAGCTAAATTGTTTGGAAGAATTTCTCGAAAGGTACCGCTTCTTACCAAGCAACATATAATCGCGATTTTTATTCGCTAAAAAATATGTTAATTGGACGGTACGAGAACGGAAAAAAGTGTTATTTTCAGATGAAACAAAAATAAATATGGTTAATTCCGATGGAAAGTGCTATGTTAGATGTCTTGTAAACAATGCTTTTAATTATTAATACACAAGGAGTATAGTCAAGCACGGTGACGTTAACATTAAAGTTTGGGGGTGTTTTTCCGGATGTGGAGTTGGATCCGTTCGGTAGATTAAAGGTACACAATGGCAATACAAAAATATCTTAGAGCACACAATGATTCCCTACTCGGACGATCATTTGCCAATAACCTGGATCTTTCAGCATGACAATGACCCTAAAGACACGGGCAATAGTGTCATATGTTTCATCAGCGAACAGCGTATATCCGTTTTACACTGGCCAGCAAATAGTCCGGATCTAATCCCGATAAAATATCTCTGGTATATTGTTAAAAAGAAAATCTCAAACAAACGTAACACCATTCAAAACGAACTATATGAAGCATTTGTTGAAGCATGGAATTCAATCCCCATAGAAAAATATATTAAATTGATTGCATCAATGCCACGTCGTTGCAGTGCTGTTATTGCTAATAAGGGATACGCCACTAATTATAACTATTGCTAGGCTGTGGATAGTAGCTATTTCCTAAATAACTATACTAATTACTAATACTCAAA